ACCTGGCCACCTCCAGCATGCATGTTGTGCCTGGTCAAAGGCAATGGCTGGAGGAGCAGCCAGCACGTGAAGAGACCCTCTCTGTGAGTAGGTGTGCAGAGACTGCAGAAAGCAAAGCACATGGTGCAGCAAGAACACTGACCCTCTAGACCAGCGGTTCTCATCCTGTGGGTCGCGACCCCTTCGGGGGTCGAACGTCCCATCCACAGGGGTTGCCTAAGACCATCAGAAAACACATATTGTTTTTGTGATTAATCACTATGCTTTAATTATGTTCAATTTGTAACAATGAAAATACACCCTGCATATCAGATATTTACATGATGATTCATAACAGTAGCAAAATTACAGTTATGAAGTAGCAACGAAAATAATTTTATGGTTGGGGGTCACCACAACATGAGGAACTGTATTAAAGGGTCGTGGCATTAGGAAGGTTGAGAACCACTGGTCTAGATGGAAAACTGGGGGCGTTGGGTGGGGGGTGTCTAGATAAAATGAATGCTGGCTTGTATCAGAACAAGAACAAATTGAAGAATTTAACAAAATGAGGTCCAACGGGAAGTACTGGATAACATAACAAAGAAATTAATTAACTTACTAAGTAGCACAGAAGGAAAGTCGACAGAGTCCAAATGAGAAATCTCTTTGCAGTGGTTCTCAACCTTCTGGCCCTTTATTTTTATTTTTATTTATTTATTTTTAAAAAATATATTTTATTGACTTTTTTCTACTAGAGCAGTGGTTCTCAACCTTCTGGCCCTTTAAATACAGTTCCTCATGTTGTGACCCAACCACAAAATTATTTTTGTTGCTACTTCATAACTGTAATGTTGCTACTGTTAGGAATCGTAATGTAAATATCTGATATACAGGATGGTCTTAGGCAACCCCTGTCAAAGAGGTCATGACCCACAGGTTGAGAACCGCTGCTTTAGAGGATATTTTCAAACATCTAAACATGAACATCATGAAATGTTACAACTGATGGGAAGCACCCTGCATATCAAAAGCAAGGAAATGGAACAGTTGTTCAATAAAGAGCAAGGCAATGTTACTAGGTGGGTGACCAAGTGGCTTAGATCAAAAAGTGTCCCCCACATAGCTCTGAGACCAATACAGCAGTTGTGCAAAGGGTTCTTTTTCAGAACTTTTTGTTAAATATCTAGAAGCAAAATTTCATTCAGCTTTTACAGCAGCAAAACACTCCACTTCGTAATATGAAGCCTTGAGATTCAACAGAAAAGACAAAATGAGCTAAAAATGTGCCACTAAGTCTTCAACCTTCCCGAGGATCCATACCCAAAAACCAGGTGTGAATCCCTGTTCCACAGCTGGGTCTTATTAATCCACCTGAACCTCCAACTGGTGGTCCTGGGCATCATCTTCTAAATGCCAATGCTAATGTTTTGCATACATATTCACCTTTATTACTCCCACCTGACAAGAGCGTTCAAGTTGTCCTGAAAGACCGTCCAAAGCAAAATAGATGATTCTCAAACCAGAGATAAAATGGCACTTTGAAAGAGTGGCCTTTAGGGTAAAGGCACACATTTGTTTTAGCAGTTTTACTTTGTTTAATAAAAATATTCTTAATAATTAAAAAATGTTGGTGTCGTCATTAATCAAATGAAGTGTTTCAATATAATCCTAAACTGTAGAGTTGAAAAGAGACCCCATATCATCTATTCTAATGGCTCTCCAATGCAGACATTGCCTCTGCAACATTCCTAGCTGTTATAGCTACAGCACTACTCCAAAATCCACAAGAATTCCAATCTTTATCTTGAAAACCAAGAATCAATTAGGCCCCAAAATCTTAAGGCTAGAAGTCTTATAGCTAGGAGAAGATAAGGTACAAAATACAAGTTTTCTTTCCCGAACCCAAATCACAATTACATGAGAAAACATGTAGCAAGCTAAGAAAGAAAAAAAGTTGAAACTAAACATGTTAGGAAAAAACTTAAATATATATTTCACCAACCAAAACAGTCCTAAAGTGAAATACAGCTAAACAAGGCAAGTAAATACTGAAATATTTTAAACTTTTAAGAGTTAAATAGAGACATACAAAGGAGAACTAAAAAGGAAACAATGCCGTAAACATCACAGGAAAGCCTCCTATGTGAAACAAGTACTTCATCTGAAGCTCCCAGATATTAACACCAGGAACAACAGCTTTGAAATAAATGCCCTTCAGATTGTAGCTATTTTCCCCCCCAAAATAAAAACTCAGAAGATTTAGTTTTAAATCTCTTATTAGAGCTTAGAATGTATGGTACATTCACTTTTACCTATGTTACAATGCCAGAGAAAAGTTAAGCTGTGCCTAATACACTTCATATCTCATTTTTAAAGCCATTTAAAAATGATCCATTTGAGACCTACTTAAAATTAAATATGTAATTTTAGTTTTTTGTTTTTTGTGTGTGTTTTTGTTTTGTTTTGTTTTTACAGAGAGGAAGGGAGAGAGATAGAGAGTTAGAAACATCGATGAGAGAGAAACACCTATCAGCTGCCTCTTGCACATCTCCTACTGGGGATGTGCCCGCAACCCAGGTACATGCCCTTGACCGGAATCGAACCCGGGACCTTTCAGTCCGCAGGCCGACGCTCTATCCACTGAGCCAAACCAGTTTCGGCTGTAATTTTAGTTTTAAAAGGAAAAAAAAGACTTGCCTTTTCTATTTTTAAACTGTGACAACTAAAACTCTAAGGCTTCCACTAAGGAGAGTTTGTGTTAAATTTTACCACAAAACATTCTAATTTTATAAAAATCAAATGTAAACATTAATCACTGTAAACTTGAAAAGAGTTTTCTCAGTCTTCTTAACCAATGATCAACGATCTCAAAAAAGAACATTTAAGAGTTGCAAAGTGATTTTTACATTTTAAAAAATGCTTAATGAGAGAAATGGTGATATTAATCTAAGTAAAGTTTATCGATATTACCTTTTCTGATTTTTTCTCTTCTGTTTCACTACTGGATGCTCTTGTCCTAAGTTTCACAGAGCCTTCTTTAAAAATATCTCCAAATCCAATCCCTCGAATTTTCTTTGGCTGTGTCACCGATCCGGGTGCAGTTTCATTCCCATTCCCCTGAGAGGGGAAAGATAAGGTAGGCCCAGTCCAAACAGATTCTGAAAGAATAATTCGTTTTTGAAGAATGACATGAAAATTTTGATACTCCCCCTGGCTTCCATAGTGTTTACATTCTATGCCTCCTAATAAAAAATGTCAAATAAAAATAATAAATTAAATGACTGAGCACTAACATATTCAAAAAAATAAGATATACTTTATCCTGATGTTTTTCTGGATGTTGTGTGAAACAATAACAATTTAGGTATTTTATTTTTTAAAAATGTATTTTATTGATTTTTTTACAGAAAGGAAGGGAGAGGGACAGAGAGTTAGAAACATCGATGAGAGAGAAACATCGATCAGCTGCCTCCTGCACACTCCCCACTGGGGATGTGCCCGCAACCAAGGTACATGCTCTTGACCAGAATCGAACCTGGGACCCTTGAATCCGCAGGCCGATGCTCTATCCACTGAGCCAAACCAGTTAGGGCAATTTAGATATTTTCAATTAGTAAAATGCTAATTAAGAAATCCAAAAAATCATAATATACAAAATCCTTAACAAGAGCATGTCAAATGTACAGCTTCTGTGCCCAGCCAGTGTGGCTCAGTGGTTGAGCATTAACCCAGTGGTTCTCAACCTTCCTAATAACGCGACCCTTTAATACAGTTCCTCATGTTGTGGTGACCCCCAACCATAAAATTATTTTCGTTGCTACTTAATAACTGTAATTTTGCTACTGTTATGAATCGCCATGTAAATATCTGATATGCAGGATGTATTTTCATTGTTATAAATTGAACATAACTAAAGCATAATGACTAATCACAAAAACAATATGTGATTATGTATGTGTTTTCCGATGGTCTTAGGTGGCCCCTGTGAAAGGGTCATTCAACCCCCAAAGGGGTCGCGACCCACAGGTTGAGAACCACTGCATTAACCCATGAACCAAGAGGTCAGGGTTCGATCGCCAGGCAGGGCACATGTCAAAGTTACGGGCTCAATCCCCAGGGTGGGGTGTGCAGCAGGCAGTCAATTGATGATTCTCTCTCACCTTTAATGTTTCTATCTCTCCCTCTCCCTTCCTCTCTGAAATCAACAAAAATATGTATTTTTTAAAATTTACAGCTTTGGGCAAAGGTATGAAATGTAAGACTGAAGCATTAAAAGAGATAAAGTTAATCATTTTTAAAAGTGGTAGTTTCCAAATACAAAAACTGGTAATATTAAAAAAATTTTATCTTGAAAAGTCAACAGTTCAAGATCTGTCCTTTCAACTCATGGATAAAGTAACATAAGTCGATGAAATTTTACATTATAATGGTAAAAAAAATATTAAATAAAGTCTAATGTTATATGAGTAAGAAAGTTGTTTCTACATTCTTGCTCAGTAGCAAAGGTTCTTATTCAGAGGCCTCAATGAGTCCATGACCAGCCCCAAGGAAAACTGGATATTTTTTCAGTTCATTTTTCTGGGCAAAAAAAGCACTGCTCATAACAAATTCTCACAGGCCTTATAATCTAAGAAATTAAGTTCTAGAGTAAATCATCAAAGAAAATTTAAGAATAATTTTCCTAAAAATCCGTGATTATCAGCTCATTGATATTTAACAGTAAGAAAGCAATGAGTAATAATTAAAATGGTAGTACCATTTATTCCGGGCTTATTCTGTGCCAGGCACTTTCTAAGCACTATACATGAATTGTAGCTACTTTGTATAACTACCCATAGACTTAACATTAGCATTATTACTCCTCATTTTGAAAATAAGTAAACTAGGCAAAGAGATGTTAAGAACTTTCCCAAGGCCACGGTAACAAAGACAACATTTGAATGTAATTCTAGATGACCCCAAAACCATTTTAAACATTTTAGTGTAGTGATTCAACAACAAAGCTTCTTGAGCCCAAAACCTGGTAGCCACTGGCTCTTCTTTCTCAATCATTCACAGTTCCCATCATCACACGGTGCAGTTCTTTATATCACCTATTTAGCTCCTATTTTACCCATGCTTCTTCATTCCTATGATCACTCCTCTAGTTTAAACTGATACTATTTCTACCTTAATTATCAAAACATTCTCAGCTAATCTTCGTATCTAGTTTTTACTCTTCTCCAAACTACTTTCAACAATGCAACCAAACCAATCTATCTAAAAACAATCTAATCATTTCACTCTTGGTGCCTGGATTTAGCATTTTTGCATTGCTTTCTTAAACCTGACCCAATAATTTCTCCAGCCTCAACATTCACCACATCCAACTATATATTCTACAATCCCTCTGAATTGAATCTCTTTCAGGACCTTGAAAATACTATGCTCTTTCTTTATCTTCTGTCACAAATTTGCCTAGGGATCTCCTACCTATTTGGGGATCTCAATCTGTAACTTCCTCTAAGGCGCAGTCCCTCATACCCTGCTAAGTTTGGTTTCTCTAACATACATCTATAGCACCCTAAAGTTTCCTGTCACAAACATTTCTCATGTGGAATTATAATCACTTGTTTAAGTCTTTTCTTTCTCAAAGGACCAAAACCTTCAAATATGGAGAAGAATCATGCCTATGTTGCTCACTACTGTATTCTCAGAACCTTGCACAATATGCTCACCAATAAGCACTCAATATATTAAACAAATACATGAATTTTGAATTAATTAATATATGAACTAATATATGAATAAACAAATATGTGAATTTTGAATTAATTAAATTTATAGTAGGAATTTTCCTTCACTGGCATTGATTTTCAAATTTAGATTTAAGAATACATTGACTCCATGGGAAATGCCACTGATATCACTGCCCATAACTTGCATAGGAACAAAAGTATATGAGAAGACAATTCTACAGGCATGATTTTTTAAAATTAAAAGACAACAGGCAAACAAAAGGGATAAAATAATGAGAATCATCTAATATCCATACCCCCACATGTTAAATAGCATAGTGAATTTAAAAGATCAGAACAGAATTCCAATTGTGACTTTTACCACTTGATGGATAAATAATCTCAGAGTTACAATTTCTTCACCTTTAAAACAGGAGTGAACTAATCTCCTCCAAAGTTATGAGACTTTAACATGACAAAATGTTTGAAAAGTTCTCCATAAACCACAAAAACCATTCATTCATTCATTCATTGAGCATCAATGTGCCAATGTTCTAGAAACTGGATATGCAGCAATGAACAAAACAAAATGTATATTTAACACAAGGGTACACAGTCAATAAGAAAATCAATAAGGACCAATAACAACTATGTCAAAGATCAAAGAATAAAAGGAAATTAGAGTGGAGGATGGGAGCTTTTGGCCATTTTATCCAGAGCTATTAGGAAAGGCCTAACTGAAAAGATGACTTCTGAGCAGACTATTGAAATCAGACCAAAAGCCATAAGGAGATCTCGAAGAACATTCCCAAAGATACACAGCAAGTACAAAGGCTGTGAGACTAAAATGTTCCTGATTTCTTAAAACGCAAACTACTAGAAGTGAGCACTTGAACATTCAGAAGGAAAGTAATGGCAAATAACTGGCTGTTACAATTATACAGCAAAATAAAACTTACACCAGGGTAGCAGCAGTGGAGGTAGTAAAAGAAAACAGATTCTGCACATTTATTTAGTAGGTGACAAATAGAGTGCAACATTAAAAAGAAGAAAAAAAAAAAAGAAGAGTAAAAGGTGAATCCAAGTCTTTGATCTAAGTGAGAGAGAGATGGAGTTGTCATTAACTTGGATAAAAAGACTATAGAGCAGATTTGGGTGCCAAGAAACGGACAGAAGGTCAGTTTTGACCATCTTAAATTTAAGATACTTATTAGGCATAAATGGAGATTTTGCAGAACAGAACAAATTATGAACTTACCACATTCCTATAAAAATGTAATAGTGGCTCTTATAACTTTTATTCTATGGTCCTTCAATAAAAACTGAGGGCATAAAAATAAGTTATCCATGAAGGATCAGGAAATATTGTCTAGAATCAGAATTATCTTAACAGTAATAGCTAGAGTTTAACTGGTGAAACCAAGAACATTATCCCATTTATTTCAGTTTATTGATTAAAAGAAAAGAACAGAAGAGCTCTACTAAATGAAAAGAGGGTAAGGAGAAACTATGTAAAACAATCAAATTGTGGTGGATATGGCATTACAATACTATAGGGAAAAAATAACATTTCATATACATAGTCAACTATAATTCCTATAACAGCTACTAGAAATACACACTACTACCTAAAAAGACTGTTAAAATACCAATTATAAACAGAGGCTATTACACTTTGTTAGAACACAGGAAGAGTGAAGGTCAATTCTTTAATGTGTAAGATCAAACTCTTAAATTAAAACTTAAAGGATTATATACTTTTATCACTAAAGTTCTAAAATCTTTATACACACTCACTTCCTGGCATTCAAATCAATATTCAAATACTCTCTGCCTAAAACCTAGAGTTTAAAAAAAAAAAAGGAATTATAGTGCACTTATACCGCTGTCTTACCACCCCATAATCACAAAGCTCCACATTTAGAACGCTTGTTATTGTAAACGGGTTAAACAAGCAAGGAAGTGTATTTTTAACAGATATAACTACAAGGTTACTAAAATTCAAAGAAGGCTAAACAATGCGAGAAAAATGCCCAAAATATTTACAATTATAAAAATAATAATCTACATCTAAATTTAAATTTGATTTTTTTTGCTAGTGGTCCCACTTGGACTTTAAATTTTGTACATATTTTAAGGGCTCAATTTATATAGTATTATCATTTCAAGGTAAGTTTTAATTAATACCAAATTCTAATGTTAAGAACAAATATCAGAGGATCCAATACCTATAAAACATAAGAAATAACAATATGGCGGAAACCGGTTTGGCTCAGTGGATAGAGCGTCGGCCTGCGGACTGAAAGGTCCCAGATTCGATTCCGGTCAAGGGCATGTACCTGGGTTGCGGGCACATCCCCACTAGGGGATGTGCAGGAGGCAGCTAATCGATGTCTCTCTCTCATCGATGTTTCTGACTCTCTCTCTCTCTTTCTCCCTTCCTCTCTGTAAAAAATCAATAAAATATATTTTTTTAAAAAAAGAAATGAATTTAAAAAAAAAAGAAATAACAATATGGAGCAAAAGTAAATCAGGGGACAGTCTGCTATGGAGTAAGTGTACCATTAAATTTAAGCCAGATGTTTTCAGGACTTGTTTGTTCTCTAATGGTTACTATACATCCTTAAAACGTAAGTTTTGACTTCAGAACTGGTACCAATCATTCTCAAATAAGTGTAACGTAAAATACTAAGTCTATTTGTTATGAGTCCTCTATTTATTCCTATCTCAATGATTTTCTATCTTTCAATGGAATCAGTATCTGCACTGAAGACTGACTTCAGCATCTTTGACTTGAGGAATTTCTAAAATTGTGGATAGGCTATTTGCAAAATCAGATCAAAACTGTATGTAAAGCCTGGCCAGTGTCGCTCAGTGGTTGAGCATCCACCAATGAACCAGGAGGTCATGGTTTGATTCATCCATCAGGGCACATGCTTGGGTTACAGGCTCGAACCCCAATGGGAGGTGTGCAGGAGGCAGGCAATCAATGATTCTCTCTTATCATTGATGTTTCTATCTTTCTCTCCCTCTCCCTTCCTCTCTGAAATCAATAAAAATATGTATTTTAAAAAAACTGTATGTAAGCATATCTTAAGTGGGAAGAAATAAGATAAGTATTATCACTTCACAATCAGAGTACAGTACTATACGTTTACTTCAAGCTAAAGCAGAGATCAGAGGGAAAAACATTGTTATTTTGCCTACTCAGTTCCTATTTTGAGACCCTGTCATAAGTTATTGTTGGTGGGTTTTTTTCTTAAAGTAGATAAACCAAAGCTCACAGTTCAAAAGTAAAAAAAAGAGATTCAAAAAAATATAAAATAAACACTAATTGATATATAAGTTTATTTAAATCTATTAAAATTTTTTTGAGTTTACCTGAATCCTCCTGGGCTTCATGAGTTTCAGCATCATCTGTTATCTCTAATTCTTTCACAAAATTTGAGGGAAACAGTCCCAACTTATTGTTCAGGGTTCCACTCCACCAGCCTTCTTCTACCTGAAAGAGTTCACAACTCAAAAATTAAAAAAAATTTTCTCCTAAATGAGAATCTTCCCCCTATGGAAAAATTTAAGCTACAGAAGTGCATGAGCACAAGTTAGTAATGCAAAATAATTTCTTTAAACCTATAAGAAAATACAATGGGAAAAAATGGACACATATGTAATACCCTTTGTAATACTTTAAGCAATAAAAAAAAAGTAAAAAAAAAAAAGATCTTAGAGAATAAAATTAATGATTTAGAAGGAACAAAAAAAGAAAATACAATGGGAAAATATATTCTACATAGATTAAATCTAAATAGATTGGATTAACCACATCAACAGCACTTTGCAATATTTGCTATGAGAACTTGTAATCTATAAAAGTATCAGATAACCAAGAATAATGTATTAATAGCAAGAAAATAGTTTTCTTCTGGAATGTTACTCTTTTAAAGACTACTGAGCCTTGGTTTGTAATTATGACATAATATTTAAGTAATTGTAAATTTTTGATTTGGAAAAAGTTTGATGAATATTAGAATACACCCTCCTAATAGACACATGAAATTCCTCAGCCTTTTACTTGAATAGCAAGTCTTAACCTAAGTATGAAAAAGAAACATTTTCTTTTAAAAGTCAAGATTTCAGGCTCTACTAAACACTGCCTCCACCATAACCAGAAATATCCTCAGAAACCACACTCTTTAGAAAAAACCTATATTCACTAACAAGGATACTAAATTTTCATGAAGTTACTTAATAGTATTTTTTTTCAGGTTAATTTTTAATGTCATGTATAGAAACACATTAAAGGGAATATCACTAGTAAAAAGTCGATCCCTTATTAGGTTTTGAAACAAGCTGTTTGGTTAAAGTGAACCATTTCTTTACTATAATTAGATATTTTAAAAAGACTAGAAAAAAATACCAATAATAAAGGCACTCGATTCTGTTGATGAATAATTTTGAGTAGCCGACCTCTTTACCTAGTTGTAGGAGTGGGTGCTCAAAGATTAACTTGAGATCCCTGCTGGAAGGCATCCATACACCCGAAAGGAGGGACAGTTGGCTTGGTGCATTAAAACTACAAGGTACTAAGAGGCACATAAGGAGGAGAAAAAGCTCAGAGGTAAACCAAAATCTAAAACCTGAGCATTTTCAGGGGGACTCAATTGTGAAAGTAGACCAAACTGAACAGGCACAACAAAGAGGTAAACATCAAAAAATTTATTATCTACACTTGGAATCCCAAATTGGCAGCAACTGGGTACTTAGGTAACTAACCCTATAATAATTCCTATTAATTAAGGAATTCTTAAGAGGTAGGTAGTATGGTGGTAAAGAACACTGATTCAAAAGCAGACTGTGTGGATTCAGATTCCAGCACCTCTGCATGCCAGGCATATGAACTTGGGCAAAGATGTCTGAAACAAAATCTACCCCATATGCTCAACTACAAAATAAACTTAACACACTCCTCCCACCAAGAAGTGGTGGCCTTTGTCCCTAACCCCTTCAATCTTGCTTGTAACCAACAGAATGTGGTGAAAGTTAGATTATAAAAGGTTATGTTTGCTGAAATGCTTACACTTTAAGAACTCTAAACTGCCATGTAATAAATCCAACTATCATGAGCCCTCCCCCGATTACAGTAAAAAAGGCAATCCTGATGGAGAAGCTACATAAAGGCTCTCCACAATCAGTCCTAACCTTCAAGTCTTCTAAGCACCAGACATGTGAGTGAAAAGGCCTTCCCATGATTCCACAAGCATTCAACCTTGAATCTTTCCAGTGGAGACCCCAAGACATCAAAGAACAGACCCAAGTCATCCTTACTGTGCCCTATCTGAATTCCAGACCCACACACCCATGAACCTGTCTTTATCACAACAGTAAATGGAACAGCCAATCACTTATCTTCTATGACTCAATCTCTTCATATGTAAAACTGGGATAAAAATTCCTATCTCTAGGTTGTTTAAAAATTTAAAGGAAATAATACATGTAAAACATTTTTTCAGGCATAATATAGGCTCAATAAACATTATTATCATTGCCAACTAGTAGAAATAAAACAGAATTGCCCTTTGTATAAACACATTGAACTTAACATAAACCTAAGTGATAAACTACATTACATGTTAGGACACAATATCAATCCCTGAGGCACTATATGATATCAAAACATTTACACTGAAAATGAGAATTTCAACTGCCAAGTAAAACTTTAATATTCCTTTAATGGTAAAAGCAGAGATGTGAAATTATTACTTTTGTTGTTGTCATTAATCCCCCCGAGGATATTTTTCCATTGATTTTTAGACAGAGTGGAAGGGAGGGAGAAGAGACAGAGAGAGAAACATCAATGTTAGACACATCAACTGGTTGCCTCCCGCACATGCCCCTGACCAGGGCCAGGGATAGAGCCTGCAACAGAGGTATGTGCCTTTGAGCGGAATCCAACCTGGGACCCTTCAGTCTGAGGGCCGAGGCTCTATCCACTGAGCCAAGCTGGCTAGGGCTAAAATATTTTTAAATATCATTCTAAAACATTAAAATGAGGGAAACATGTTTTTGGGCAATATTTCAATGTGATAATTCAAACCATGCAAAGCTTTTTAAAGATTCTTTTTTAAAGTATTCCTTTACTATGTAAAAATTCCTTTTATTTTACTGCTTTGTACCTAAAGTGAATTCAGAATCAAAGGAAAGGTTTATTTATATTCTTAACCACTTAGATTACATTAATTTTTAGTTTAACAAGGTTTTGTCTTAAGTCAACAAATACAGTACACAAATATTAGATATAGCAAGGATGAGTGAAATTTTATTTCTACATACAAGACAATGAGATATTAACCGTTTGACTGCTAAGGAGCGCTATCGCGCTCTTCTTATTTAAAACAAATTTATGTAAACAATTGGTATTTTTTAATTTTTGTTGTTGCAAAGCAATACAAGTGAGTTTATTGTATAAAAAGTGTTTTACATTTTTTCCCATACACGCGCAATTAGTGCCACAGTTTTGGCATATGTCCGAAACAATACGTCAGCAGCCAAACGGTTAAGAGATTAATTTTAAAGTCTGTATCTTAAAATTTTTATTAAAAAAGAAAACCAATAAACTTGCAAAATTTTGTAACAAAAAATTAATATCCTTACAAAGCATTTTTCTGATATCCAGAGCATTAATTCTAACTGCTGCTTGATCTCTAACACGTTTTCCTTACCTCATCATTAATATCAATAATATCTCCCACTTTCAACTCCAGTTCATCATCATTTTGTGGAATGTACTCAAACAGAACCTTACATTGCCGCTTCTTGATCTCTAAAAAAAGTAACATTAAAAAAGTCAGGTTAAGAAAGATCATTAAAATAAGCAATAGCACCTTTATTTACATACTTTACATACTATGTTTGCTGTCAGTGTATTTATATACAAAAACAGAACGTGTAAGCATTCTAAGCAACTAACCACAATCAGTTCTTGTTGGCTTTCCAACTTGCCCCCACGTTACAATCTATTCAGCCCCAAATAAATTCAAACCAACTACAAAAAATGTATAAGGATTACAGCAATGAAATCATTTATACAATTGATCCCACTGATTACACAAAAGTAAAATGTCAACTGCCACTTTTGAGACTAAAAATATAGAATATAAAAGACACTGTTGGCACAAAAAATGTATCACATACAAGTCCTCCACGCCAGTGATTTCCAGACTACATCCTGATCAAAGCCTAGGAATACTTAAAATGAACTAATTTAAGAGTATCTGTTTATTTTATCTGTTTCAAGAGATAAAACGCACAAGTCTACAATGTACTTTATCTTCTTTAATAGCCCTGTTTTCTGACAGATAAAAATCAAACTCATATAGGAAATGATAAAAATAGTTTTACTTTTAGCCTGGCTGGTGTTGCTCAGTGGTGGAACATTGACCTATGAACCAAGAGGTCACTGGTTAATTCTGGTAGGGCACATGCAGGCTCGATCCCTGGTAGCGGGCATGCAGGAGGCAGCCGATCAATGATGTTTCTCTCTCATCAATGCTTTTTTATCTCTCCGTCTCATGTTCTCTCTCTAAAAATCATTAAAAACATATATTTTTAAAAATTTTTTGCATTAGCTTTTCAGATAAGTAATGATCACTTATAACTATCCAGGTTTGTGGTTCTCAACTTCTTTGAAACTCTTAATAATTGGGAACTCAGAATTATTCCCATCTTTAAAAGTGAATCATTAAAGCAGCTATGGGTAGATGACCAAGTATGGTTAATTAAAGGATTGCTTCTTGCTACTCAAAGAAATCAAGAGGAGGCTAAGACTTGGAAGAGTAGTAATGGAAGAATTCGGAGAAATCATGAAAAACAAGTGGTAGTGAGGATGTGGAGAAAAGGGAACCCCAGTACACCACTGGTGGAAATGCAGGCTGGTACAGCCAGTATGGAAAACAATATGGAGTTTCCTCAAAAATTTAAAAATGAGACAGGCATTTGACCCAGTGGTCCTACTTCTAGGAATATATCCTAAGAAATCCGAAACACCAATCAGAAAGAATACATGCACCCCTATGTTCACAGCAGCGTAATTTGCAACAGTTAAGACCTGGAAATAGCCCGAGTGTCCATCAGCAGATGAGTGGATTAAAAAAGCTGTGGTACATTTATACCATGGAATACTATGCTGGAGGTAAAAATGACAAAGCTGAAGCTGTACTACCCTGGGCACATCATGAGAAGGCAGTTACTTCGGCTCTCACATTCTATATATCTATGAAATTATCAACACAAAAAATAAATCCAATTGGACCATCAAAACAACAGAAGAACATCATAACCAACATTGTGAAGAGGTGCAAAACAGAAATGACAATCAGGTAGATAGAAGAATCCATAATCTCCAAATAAGAAACAGTTACAACAACAACTGCTGGAGAGGAAGCGGAGGAAAAGGAACCCTCTTGCACTGCTGGTGGGAATGCAGAGTGGTGCAGCCACTGTGAAAAACAGTATGGTGTTTCCTCAGAAAATTAAAAATGAAACTTCCATTTTGACCCAGTAATCCCACTTCTAGGAATATATCCCAAGAAAACAGAAACACCAATCAGAAAGGATATATGCACCCCTATATTCATAGCAGCACAATTTACAATAGCTAATTTTTGGAAACAGCCTAAGTGACCATCAGCAGATGAGTGGATTAGAAAACTGTGGTACATCTACACAATGGAATACAGACAGTCCTCAGGTTAGTACATTTCATTACTGCTCTGTATGTGCTCCATGTGAGTGATGTAGGTGCTTATATAGGTGGGTTCCGACTTACAGCGAAAATCAGGTTACATCATGCCGCTGTAGGAACAGATCTCCAACGTAACCCGAGGACCTACTGTACTATGCTACTTTAAAAAAGAAGGAATTTTTACCATTTGCAACAGCATGGATAGAACTGAAAAGCATTATGCTAAGCAAAATAAGCCAGTCAGAGAGAGATAAATACCCCATGATCTCATTAATTTGTGGAATATAATGAACAACATAAACTGATGAACAAAAATAGAACCAGCATCACAGAAGCCTTGAACAGACTGTCCAACACATGAGGGAAGGTGGGGGATGAGGAGGTTAAGAAAACAACCAAAGGACTTGTATGCATGCATATGAGCATAACCAGTGGACACAGACAGTAGGGTGGAGAGAGCATGTGCTGGGGGTTGGGGAGAGGTCAACAGGGGAAAAAAGAGACTTATGTAATACTTTAAACCAGCGGTTCTCAACCTGTGGGTTGCAACCCCTTTGGGGGTCGAACGACCCTTTCACAGGGGTCGCCTAAAACCATCGGAAAACACATATATAATTACATACTGTTTTGTGATTAATCACTATGCTTTAATTATGTTCAATTTGTAACAATGAAATCGGGGGTCACCACAACATGAGGAACTGTATTAAAGGTTCGCGGTGTTAGGAAGGTTGAGAACCACTGCTTTAAACAATAAAGAATATTTTTTAAAAAGAAAAAGAAACAGTTACATTTCAGTAATAGTTTTCCCCCTTCCTAAAGGAATAACACTAGTTCTTTTTATGACAATACATTTTTAGCCCTGGCTGGTTTGCTCAATGGTTAGAGCGTCAGCCTGGGGACTGAAGACTGAAGGTTCATGGGTTTGATTCCAGTCAAGAGCATACTTGGTTGCAGGATTGATCCCTGGCCCATATTGGAGGCAACCAATTGATGTGTCTCTCTCACACTGATGTTTCTCTGTCTCTCCCCCTCCCTTCCACTCTTTCTAAAAATCAATGGAAAAATATCCTCGGGTGAGGATAACAACAGCAACCACCTG